CTCCGCTGTAGCCAAATTAAAAGGTATCCACAGATGAAACTACAAAACACAAATTAAATGGTTCTAGTACTAGCAAAACTTGGTTATGATTATCATTTGTTTTCTAATTCATCAGAGATAACACTGCTTCTTCCAATACATTCAGCTTCAAAAATGCCTTCCATAGGTCTGGAATAAATCAGAATTGAATGACAGACATGTATAAAAAGATCAGTAGGAGCCGGGCGCACGCCTTTAATCCCAGCACTCGGGAGGCAGAGGCAGGCGGATCTCTGTGAGTTTGAGGCCAGGCTGGACCGACAGCCTCGAAAACAATACAGAGAAACCCTGTCTCGAAAAACCAAAAAAAAAAAAAAAAAAAGATCAGTAGATGGCTATAACAACCATGTATAATTTGTAATTGGCCTTGAAAAACAATTACACTAGAAAATGTAAAACATGGTTGTTTTAAAGAAACAACAAAAGACATGAACAATAAATTCTTATACGCAGACTTCTGCCTGCTAGAATGTGATATCTCAGTGGCAGAGGTGGCCTCTGCTAGTATTTATAAAGCTACCTGACACATGCTATATTCAAAACTCAATGCCTGAAAATGATTAACATTACACAATGCAAAGGCAATTGTGGGACACCTCACAAATGTTACTTGTTCAAATACTTATGTGTGTGTATTCTCATACACCCAAATCTTTTTGAATGACAAATATAAATACAATAAATAAATAAGACCCCTTGGCAAAGAAATAAATACTTTAATTCCCTTTGAGTACTTATCTCCAAATACACGTAATAAATACTTGAGTTAGAGTTTGGTAATTCCTAGTGGGGAAGAAAGTGGCAAATCTGAGTCTAAAGTTAGGACAGTTCTGCAGAAATGTTAACCAATGCTGCTGCCCAGGCTACACATCAGTTTACTCAAAAGATAAATCTGCAAGATACACTATTGTTTCAGTTACTCTGATACACTATCTCCCAGGCCAAGAAAAAGGAAACTGGTTTCTTCCTAGTAAAATTACAGAATTATAAACACACATTTAATATGCTTTTTTTGATGCATCTGTTGTGGTTTTCTGATTTTACAAAAATAAAATGGGAAAATGTGACTCAGTAAGTCTACAGCACAAGCACCTAATTCTTAGAGAAGTGACTGCTTACATATGAGTGCACCATATTCCACTTGTTGGGCTGATACGTTACATGTGTCTCTATTACATGCAATGATATGAACTAAGCATCATTTAATGTTAGAAATGACTCCAACAGCATAATCTGAAACATATTGCAGATCACCTTCCCATGATCCTCTCTCTCATTGCAGAGTCAGTTATTAAACCAGGAGAGAGAAGTAGAATCAGGCCTAAGTGTGAGCAGTTTTAACATGTACAAGCTTATTCATGTAACATAATAGTCTGAATCTTCCTACACTTGTTTTGATAGTTATCCAGGCCAGCTGATTATGGGACAGGATCCTTCAGACCTTCTCTGCTGTCTGATGGGAACTGAGGGTTATTTTTTAATTATTCAAATTAAGTTGTTCAAGTAAATACTGGCTGGTAAAAAACAATATGTCCTGACAATTTGGAATTTAATGTGCAAAGTAACTTTCTACCTTTATATGTTAAGATTAAATGCTTTTAAGACAATATTAGAGGTACACAGAGTAATAGAATTTAGTCCTTGTCCTACATTTTTTCTCATCCAAATTATTTCTGTAATTTTTAAAATTAAATATAATCCCTCCTCCTCCTAACTTTGCTTAATGTTCTCAGTCCCTCTCAAATTCATGGTGTCTTTTCTTTTATTAGTAGTAGTATTCAATATTAAATAATGCTGTAAAGACTACTTTAAAAAGAGCGAGAAGCTCTGCTATAAGGCACAGCCTGGCTTTGTAACTGTAGCCATCCTTTTTGGTCAGCCTCCAAGAACTGGGATCAACTGGACTATATATAAATGAAACTTCAGTCGGGCTTGGCAGTGCAAGTTTGTAATATCCAAATTTAGGAAACAAGAGGTATGTGAAACTCTGCTGAGTTCAGGGCCACCCTGCTCTACATCAGGCAGTCATGGCTAAATAGTGAAATCATGTCTCAAACAAAAACAAAAACAAAATAAAATGAACTTTGGTTTCTCAGAGCACCAGCCTCCCACAGCATCCCTGAGTCATGCAAGTATTTGAACAAGTTGCTTCTAAATTTTAGCTTCCTTGTGTGGGGAAATGAGATTATTAGCATCTAGCATACTGTTAGGTCATAGGAAGTAAGCATCTGGTGGGTTGGTGTTGTGTCTTTTTCCACCCTTAGTGAACAGAGCTTAGCACAGAGGAATAAGTCACAGGTATCTATCTTGTGTTTCTCTTTTCTCTACTCTACTGCTTTGCTTATCATTTCTTGTGGGTTCTCTACTTCAGGTATCTTACTTATAGCCACTAGGAGATGCTCACCTCCACTCGGACAAATATCCACAGGAAATTCATGTCAGCTTCAGAATGTTTGCTGTTCCACCATTCTGCTATGAACTCAAGTGTCCACCTATTTCCTTTCCCATTTCTTTCCTCCTCCTAAATGGCTTCAAGCAAACCTACTCAGTAAATCTCTCAGTCATTGTCCTTTGCCATCTTTCACTGCAATCAGATTTCCTCCTTCATGTTTAGATAACGTTCAAATGGAATTCACAGAGAAAGCCCACGTAGATGCTATAATCAAGTGACTGTAGCAATGTCAAAAACACTGAAATGTACCAAGGTGTTAGGAGAAAATGTGAAAAGACACTGGTTATAATCTGTAAACTTCTCAAGGGCTTTAAATTTTTTAAAAATTTTACTTAAATTTTTTTAATTGGCCTTTTCATTTCTAAAATTTCTGTCTAAAAATACTAAAGATTACCAAACAAGAATGATGCTGCACCCCCACATTTGTATCACCTACACCCTATCTAAATATGATAGACTCGTCCTTTAAAAGGAACATCTGGGACAAAGTATAATTTTTGAGTGAAAAGAAAAGCACTATTATTACAGTGACTGTTTCTAACACAATGCATTCCAGTGAAATCCAATGAGCACAGATCACAGAGCAAATTCATTACTAACTTGATACGTAATATTATTGAAGTAAATAAACAAGCATGTATTTATTCACTGAATGAACCTCCATGAATCTACAGCAATTCATAGACTAGACTTCCTGACTCTGTACTTCCATGAGCTTTCACATTACCTCCGCTGTTTTCCTTAGGACGCACCTGTGCTCTACCCTCCCTGTGAACTCACTACTGCCAAGCCCTCGCCCACCTCTGTCTCCTCTAGCTGTTCTGCAGTGAGACATTCCACTCCTCCCATTACAATTTTCAAAACCTCTCATCCCAAAGATTCTTCGGTGTGCTTTTGGGATGAGGAACCAATGACTGGCAGTCAGGAGTCCTAAGTTACTGCACTGTCTCAGCCATTTCTTTACTGTAGAAACTTAGAGGCCATTTAATATCCCTTGATCTTTATTACTATCTACAAAAAAGGATGCCTATTAAAAATAATAAAGGAGAAAGCTGAAGTCTAAGTTTTTAAAAGTGACCTTTACTTCTCCCAAGATCACTGTAAAAGTTAACTCAGTCATGCACTGTGGTGGTTCTGCACCAGTAATTTTTATGTAGAGTAGAAGGTACATTAATACACTGCTTCCAGAACAGTGAGGCTGGGGGAGCCAGGTGATTATGAAGTCTAAAGTCTTGTACAAAGATACAAAGTGGAACTTCTTACACCTAATAGAAAAGCTAATAAATGATGTTTAAAACTATACTCCGTGGGAAGATTGGAGACCATGGAAAGGTCAAATACCCATGGAGAGGTACCAGGCACCATAATTTATCTTGGACTTTTCTCCAAGCATTTCCACACCCTTTAACATCAAATAGAATTAGGTTATCTTTGTCTAAGGATGCCATTGCCTTCTGGGATTTAAGTCCTACCTTTACCAACCTTCATGACACTCTTGATTTGTCTAGACTTCTCATATCCTCCAACCTCCTCAGAATTTGCACTGATCTGTACCAATGAGTCAGTAGTTCCTTCAGCTGTTTAGGAACCAAGGAGCATGCATTTATCTGTGTATTTCCTTCTCTCTTTCCTCCCTTTTCCTTTAAGAACCACAGTGAAAGAAGATCTTCAAGTAATTTCTATTATCACATCATCCCACATACAGAGAAAACAATTACACATTATATGGAAAGAAACTCAGTAATAATTTTATAAAATTTAAAGCTTACAGTTAACTTTTCTAAGTTGGATTGACTATATTAACCTATATATTTTTCTATTAATTTGTATTCGTGGGATTCTGCTGCAATATAAAACACAAAAGGTGTCTCCAAGTATACCAGCATCCTCTTATTAATAAAAGTCTATTGCCTACCCCATATAATAGATAATGACTGACACCCTAAAGTGACTTCCAGGTACTCAGAGTGATTAATATGGTACTTTTAGCACTAAATCTATGTTGATACATAACACTTTCAAAAACAAAAAAATAATATTTAGGCAGATATATCCTATTGTTTCAAATAAGTCATATCCTAACTTTGTTTTCACAGATTGATGTTTCCTAATTCCATCAACAGTTTGTAATTATAATAATAAAACCTATTTGGAAAAGCTTCAACACAAAAGGGAATATACTACATCATACACCTTCAAAGTGGGATATACTGTACAAGTGGGACCACGGTATTACTACTCCTACAAAAACATGCAATGAGAAAAGAGTAGACACTTAAATAAGATGGGCCACAATATGCACAATGGAAAAGCTACTAAAAGCACATTCACTTGTAGAGAGCACACAAGAGATGCTTTGGAAAGCACATTAACACCTAGGAGACAAGGGAAGAGCAGCTCATCTAAAGACAAAAATAGCTATGGCAGATCCAAAATTATTAGTGGTTAGATTAAAAAATCAAAGCAACACAACAAGACAGTGACAGAAGTCAAGAACAGGCGCACTTACAGGGATTCTTCTCCAGGGTGTCTGGGTGTATTTATCAGCATATGTACACTTTTCGTCTTTAGATTTCTGGTGGCAGTTACACCGGGTTGCCTGGACAAAACCACAAATGTTCAAAATGGTTTTCTTCTGCACATACACACAGACAGTTAGACACTATGTTAAGAACAAGTCAAATCACCAAGCACATAGTGCAATGCAGCTCTGGCTACTTTCATGGAAGACATGCCTACACCAAACTTCAAGGTCTATTCAGTTGCCTGCCTTTTTTAGGTACTGGATTTGAGGTAAAGCCAGTGAACTATGATATTTCTCTTGACAACCTTTTAAACTGTCTAACCACCTCACTATATGTAATTTTATGTATATAAAATGTACATCACTTAGTTGGAGGATATATGCAGCAATCAAAGGCATAAAAGAATGCTACGGAAAAGTTATATCCCTTTTCTGATTTATTTTGTTTGACCCTGCTGTAAAGTACCGTCCTCTGCCCTTAATAGCCATGGTCTTCATCAGATGTAACTATTTGCAAGAGAATGTTAAGATTCGTATTCCTTCAAAAGACAGGGTGGAAGGTTCTAATACTTCACCTGAGAATCTAGTCACTCTTTTCTGCACCCTCCGGCTAGCTATGAATACTCCTGCCCTAGTGAATGTGGTCCTGTTATCTTGGGGAGTACTAGAGTTTATATTCTGTGGAGCATTAACTCCATGTATGCAGCTATGGTATGAGAAGTCCCAGTGGTCTGAGTGCTTTGGGTTCACCTGTGCTCCTTCAAGCAACTCCTCACCCATGCTCTGAAAGTAAACTCAGCAGACTCATTGCTTCCCCAAGATGGACTTTGGTGGAACTGTACTTCAGGCACTTGATGGTGCCCTATAAGGATGAGCAGGTGTTTGTTCATACCTTTTCAAAGAAAGTGTTCCAGCAACAAGCACTACAGACAGTTTCCTAAAGGATCTCTGATGGAACTCTACTGGGTATTAAATACAAACAGTCTGCATGCTGTGTTTGTTCCTTAGTGCAGGGCTACACAGCCTCTTTGATAATCTTTACCATACTAGAATATCATCAACTGAAAAATAAATTCTCTACACCTATCTTTGACCCTTTAACCATATCCCATCTGTCTGCTCCTATTCATCAACCATTAGTGGCACAGAGTTCACTATGCTACATCCTTGATATTCTGAATGAAAGCAGTATTTTATAAAGCTGAATTTGCTGTTATGTTTTTGTTTGATCCTGAGTGAATCTTCTCTTTTAATTCTTGTGATTTTATGCAGTATGTTCATTGTAGCTGGAATTTTAATTATTACAAACTATCCTATAATTGAATTCAAGGTAATATACAAATGGTTTTCTCATGAGCATTTGAAATCACAATTATAAAATTATGAAGATTCAATCAAGGCTAACTCTGAGGACTCACTCACCATCATTCACAGAGTTGAAGTATTTCCCTAGAATCCCTTCCAATATAGCCCATGCTCAAGGCCAAGCACCAGTGTCACTCTGCTTACAGACAGAAAACTGCCCAGGTACTCATTTTATGTCAAAGTTCCATCATATACTTTAATTGGACACATGTATTCCAAACACAATGCTACATAGAACTCTGAAAGCCAAAACAAAACCAAGCTGCACTCTAGCCCTATCTTATAAAAGCAAACACAGATCCCGTGAAGAGCCTGTCTTACAGTCTGTGTTAGAATACTTACAAGCCGATGCTCTAATAGTTGGATTTTTTCATCTTTTTTCTTTATTTCTTCTTTAAGTTGTTTTATTTCATTTAATAAATCTTCATTCTGAAATATGAAAAAATACTGTTACATAAAATATTCTAATGAGAAGCTTAAAATCAACTAAGTCAAATAATGTACCTCTAAAAGGAAATCTACTAAAATTTTAGAAAGATGTCATGATCTAATGGCAATCGACATGCAAATAATGGGCAAAATGGAAGTATGCTAATATTCATGAAGTTCTCATTGGAATTAGCATTTATACTGATTTTGGCTACACTGAGATATGTACTGTTATCCCTCTGCATTAACATAACAAAGAAACTAGGCTAAAGGTCATACAGTAAAGGAAATCACTATGCACAACTAACTTCAACTAAAATTTCAAGGAACACCTATAGGCTGTCTGTCAGGGCAGGGCAGACCGAAGGAATGGTGTAATTAATGTACAGGAGAAATTTCAACATTGGTTCAGAACTCAGCAAAAGACAAATATGCCAGATGAGTGCCAGGGAGTGTTCTGTAATGAGCCACTGTCCTGAAAAGTGCTGACTGAAGCAAAGTGAAAGGCACCAGCCAACTGCATCAAACAAATCATTACTGTAAAATGGAAACCTTTGTCAAGTTAAGCAATATTCTGATGACATTTCCAAAATGGCAAGTATTGTTAACCTATCCTGAGCCCATTCTGTGTACCAATACTCAATTATACACATCTACACATATACTGAAGAAGTACTCTAAGAAATTAGAATGTATATTCTCATGAAAGATTTTTCTAGAAAAAAAAACATGTGAACAAATAATGATTATGTGTTACTACTGAGCAAAATATGACATCTCTTTCAGATACAATTAAGCACAGATTCAGGGTGAATATAATTAGAATGCATAACATACGTGTAAGAAATTGTGTTTTAATTTTTAAAAAATGTAAGTACATTAATAAAAGATCACAAATAAAGATTAAACAAAGTTTTTTGGAATACGACTTAAGCCATCCAAATGACAAGGAAAAATCAGAGCTTATAAAAAATGTTATCATCTATAGTGTAATTAGGAAAGACTATAAAAGCTGGACTTGAAAATAGTTTAGAAAGCAAAACTTTATAAATCAGGAGGAAACGGATTAGAGAACATGAAAGATACATGAATACACTAAGGACACACTTCTACACTGTACAGAAAATAGAGATATTAGGATTTGATATACATAACTCATCATACAAAATTCTAAAACATAAATACCATTAACATTGAAGTGAAAACACGATGAAGGACTTATTATGCCTCAAGGACAGTATGAAACTACACTCAAGACCCCAACAAAAAAGTCTGTTAACTCTCACAAACAAGTGGTAATTGTTGGAGAAACAGTAAAGACTAAAGTACTGTTTTATAGATGCTGATGAGCAGGAACATATCCAATATAATTAAGATTATTCAAAAATGATATATCAGACCTAGCAGTCAGGGTGCTATTTGAACATTTACAAGTATACAAATGTTTACAAAATGACAAGCAACTTGATGGAAAACCATGCAACCATTATTTATGTAGACATGGCTGGTTTCTACAGTGCTAAAGAAAATGTGTTTCATGTGACATTCAGATACAGTACACAGCAGTACAACAGACACTACTCTGTGAACAACACTTTATATCACAGGTGTATTGTGTGAATTTGTGTGTCAGCTTGACACAAGCTACAGAGTCACCAGAGGAAGGAGCCTCAGCTGAGGAAATGCCTCCTTAAAATCCAGCTATAAGATTTTTTTCTCATTTAGTGATCAACAGGGGAGGGCCCAGCCCATGGTGGGTGGTGCTAGACCTGGGCAGCTGGTCCTGGGTTCTATAAGAAGGAAGACTGAGCAAGCCAGGGGAAGCAAGCCAGTAACCAGGTCCCCTCCGTGGCCTCTGCATCAGTTCCAGCTTCCAGGATCATTCCCAGTTTGAGTTCCTGTCCCAACATCCTTCAGTGATGACAGCACTGCTGAAGTGTAAGCATAATAAGCCCTCCCCCCTCCCCATTTGCTGTTTGGTCATGGTGTTTTCATAGCAGCAATAGAAACCCTAACTAGGACAATAGGGGAAATGTGCCTGTCAGGAAACAGACTCCAGGAAAGTCCTGAAAATGAGTGGAAGGTCTGAAGATACAGAGAAACACTGCAAACTTTGGCTTCCATGTAAGATACTCAAAGTACCACACAATACAGAAGTGAGGACACCACAGCACACCATAGGTCTACACACAGTGGTTCTGCCACACACATGCTGTAGTAAAAAAAAAACAAACCAAAAAAAGTAATTTTAGCTAACAAACTAGGCAATAACCACCATCAGAAAGGACCATGGATGGAAAGCATGGCCTTAGCTAGGGATTAACAGATTTGAACTTGAGGTGGCTTGGAGACTTTGAAGGAAAACTTTAACAATGACAAAATTGGGCTAGGAATCTACACCCAAGGCACTGGAATACTCCAGGTTAGAACAGGAACCTGAACCAATAGAGCAATTATAGCCTTGAGGAGACTTGATGATCTACATCAAATGAAAGAATTCAAATCTGTGTTTTAGCTTGAGTGACATGATCAATGGCTATGAATCAAAAATGGTGAATACAGGACACAATAAACTACTGCATCTCAACTTAAATAAGATGTAAATGATAAATTATCTACCTAGACAAAAAGGGAATAGGGACATGAATTAATGTCAACTGTCAATGTGTCTATCATGCAATACTAACCACATGGACAAACTAGAAACAAAAAGCAGTGAGACCAGGACAATGTAAAAAAGTTGAAATTAGTTTTGTCTCTTCACAGCAAGTTCCTGGGCTGGTCTGGTGGCACTTCCTTGTAATACAGCACTTCAAAGGTGAAGCTGGGAGGGTATGGAAGTCAAGGGTACACAGAGGCTAGCCTCAGCTATACGGCAAGCTACACAGTATTCTGGACTACATAAGACTTTGTCTCAAAATGAATTCCTTGCTTGTATAAAACATGATAAAATCTGAGGAGATATTTAATTTAGGGGGTGGGGAATGCCAGCCAGAAAGTTGAAGAAAATTTAGACACTCTCCGAGGTCATCTAAATCACTGGTTTTAAGCTGGATGCAAATATGAAATGGTTTTCTAAATAACCCACAATCTTCTGCAGATCTGCTGACATGGAACACTACCCTCACTACCAGTCATGTGGAAACCTACAGACAGGAAATGACTGAGTGAAGACAGGTAGACAACAACCGAGAAGGGCCAGATTAGTAGCCCAACATAATTACCATGCTATTAGTCTTAGGATTTACTTAGACACCTATAAGCAGTCTATGCTCCTCTGTTCAGCTATTTCTAGCCTAGATCACCCAAGTCATCAGGAAGCAGCACATACCAGGTCCAAGCAGAATTCATATGAATTTCTCAAAGTTCTTATTCCTTTATACAACAATGTTATGTCATACCACAGGGCTGATCACTCAATTTGGCCCTCAGACTGAAGACAAATGAAACAGAATTTCATCTGATATACAGACCATGTGTACTTTAAGTAAGATTTAGCATTATGTTAAGTCATTAATGTTCTGAGGTTATATGTTATTGCAATGACTAGCAAACATGGACAATTACATCTTGGAAATGGGAAATAAATGCCTTATCTTGAAGATATTAAATGAATCAAAAATTACCTGTGTACACTTGAGAAACAGTTGTAAAAGCTATCCACTAAAATCTAAAGATCATGAAAATTATAATATTTTCAACCACTTATTAAAACATGTATAGATTCTATAATTAGATTTTCAAATACGGAAATTACCTGAATATTTCTTCAATTTTATGAATATATGAAGCACCTCCTACCATTTTAATTTTATTGGAAATCTTATTTTGATAATTGTTATTCATAGTTATAAGTAACAGTAATAACACAGGGGCAAATTACTTTCCAACTGACAAGGAGGGATACTTTAAAACATTACTGGGCTATCATTTTAATTTCATACAGCAGCAAAGGTTCAGAGGAGATGTAATTGTTTTCCCAGAATGCAAAGCTCTAGGCTGGCCTGTTTTCTGTAGTAGAAATTGATCTGACTCAGGGCCTTGTGGATGTTAAACAAGTATTTGGCCACTGAGCTACAATCTCAGACACTTTGTGACAGTATCTTGCAACATTTTTCTGGGCTGGCCTTGAACCCACTGTGTAGCACAGGCAGCTTTCAAATCAGTCTCCTGATTGGTGGGATCTATAGACATTGACACTATACCCTGCTAAAATCTCTATTATTCAAAGTTTAAAATGTTATTGCTGTATTACTTTTACAGTGAAAGTTTTGCAGTCTTCAGCATAACTGCCCAGCCATACCTTATATATCTGGTCATCTTCTGGCTCTGGACTGGATGGCAATGACAGCTCAACGTCATTCAGGGATCCACTTCCATCATGCTACCAGGAGGAGAAGGCAAAGATGAGAGACTAATACAACAATCACCAGCATTCACTTCCTTCACCTGCCCCAGCTCAAACCCTGGTACAGAACAAGAAGTGAGACCTCAGAAAACTCCCTATCTTGGCACTGGCAGCAGGAAATGTGGAAAGGGGGTGGGGCAAAGGTAACCCGAGGAAACAGCAAACCCACTAACAGAGTTAGAAAAGAACATCAGAAACATCCCAAAAACATTTGAAATGAACTCAGCGAAGAAAAATGGGAAAGTCAGTTGAATCTTCTTTGATCTAGACATATTTTGAGTATAAACAACTCAAAAATAGTATATTAACACTCATCAAAGCATAGCCATAAAAATCATTTGATTAAATACTAGATATGTGAGAACATGTGTTACATGACTCTACATGTCTGAACAAGGAGTCCAAATGATATACAGTGCTGGAAATCAGGATAGACACAGACACAGGTACTGAGTAAGGAGGGACATCAAGGGACATAGAAGAGGAAGCTGGGAATGCTCTATGTCTTAATGAGAAGGTGCCATATAAATCTACATATTGCAAGTTCAAGCTTATGATAGATAGGTTCGTGTTTAGCATTCTACTAACTACAGACTGGACCCGGGTAAGAAAAAAGTGAAAAACAAAAGATTTTGTCCTTAAACACCAGAGTTAAATGAGAGGGTACTATTAAGTTCTAGTCTTTTCTGAACTGATTTACTAATGATTCAAAGAGACAATCTCAAGAGAGATGGATACGCAGAATGTGCCAGAGGCGATGCTGAGAAACTGAGCCTGACAGTGCAGCACCGCTTTCACAGCACCGAGACTATCACCCTTAGTCACGACTGTTCAGGGTTCACACGACCGTGGCTTTACCTGAGCTGAGGCAGGTGTGTCTGAATAGGAGAGGGGGGGCAGTTAGGCTATTTGTTATAGAACACACCTATTCAATCAGAATCTGCAGAGATGGGCCAAAGCTTACTTAGCAAAGCATAACAAACTCTAGAGATTGCAGTTAAAACTAGCATTTGCCAGATTCTCAGCACTGGATAAATGAACATTTCTACTAGTGATGGTATTGACAATAAAACCTGAGAGGAAAGGCAGTATCTTAATAACAGCAAAAGTTCTCAGGAGGGGGGGGGGGGGGGGTGAGTGTGTGTTGGGCATCCACTGGCCTACGACTTACCAATGAGGCTAGCGATAGCCTCCTCTCTCTGCCTCCCGGGTGCTACCACACACCTGACATTTCACGTGGGCACTAGGGAATCAAGAATCAGATCCTTGTGTTTTCCAGACAAGTGATTAACTGACTGAGTCATCCCCCTCAGCCCCAGAACATTTAATTTTGAAAATGGTTTTGAAGCAAAGAGAAAGGAAAGAAATTTCAATAAGAAGTCCAACTCTACTCTAATGGCATGACATATCAATGCAGGGTAAATCTTACAAAAAAATATATATTTGAGAAAAACAGGCTCTGAAAATTTAACCTATTTCCAATTATCTTCCTGCTTACTGTACAGAACCCCAAGGAATAAGGGAAAACACAGCACATATTGTTTTGCAATGACTGTGGGTGTAGTTGTGGGACATGAGAAAGAGGAGGGGGGGGAGAAAGGGGAAGAAAGGGGTAGAGGGGGGGAGAGAGAAATACCAGGAAAACCATTAAATTGCATCTAAATTCCTAGGTACACCCAGAGCACAATTGGTCTTGAACAGCTTATCAAAGTTTGAAAGATAGCCAGGAAATAAACTAAAAGCAGATCCACCAGGCTCCAACTAGCCTCTGCTGAACACCTAACTCAACTGTGGTTTCCATCCAAAATTTGTTCCCTGAAGCCTATTAGACCTTTCTCTACTGTAGGAAAAAGGGTGTGTGTGTGTGTGTGTGTGTGTGTGTGTGTTGTGTGTATTTCACTATAGAACTTAAGCAAGATGAAAAACTTCAAATAGAAAAATGTAACTCACACAAACTTCAAAGCCACAAATGGCACAGAATTTAGAATTAACTAGAAGAGATACATTACTAAGTTATCAAAAAAATGTTCAAAAGTAAAGTTGAACTCTTTAAGTAAATAGAAGAAAATGTCTTACTCCAAAATAAATAAGATAATAAGGTAAACATAATTGAAAATTTTTATGTTTACTTTAAAGACTTTCAATTAGTATCATGAAAACAACAGAAATGATCCAATATAATTAATGAATAGAAAAAACACTGACCAGGAAAGTGAAATTAACAGTCTGCTCAGGGGTGTATGTGACAATAACAAAAGGTGTCACACTGAGTCACTGATGTCACAGAAGAAACAGGCAAGCAGGAAACACAGGAGTTAAGAGTTTAAGAAGCTCTGTTCTATTCAAAGGACTGAACACACAAACTAGGTCCTGCGAAGACGGGATCACCCGAGTAACAGGTCTAATCTCTCAACTGAAAGAAAAGCAAACCTCTAACCCTGCATGGGGCTAAAGAGGAAGTCACCCGTAAATGAGAGAATGATGTCACAGACCAAAGTTTATGGAATGCAACTAAGGCAGTGCTTTGGGAAAGTGGTGGTTAGAAAGGTTGGCATAAGTAGACATCACACTGTGACCAGAACATAATAAGCCAAGAACAAGTAGAGAAAACAAACTAAACCATAAGGATCAGAAAGTAATGAAGCAAAAGACAATCAATAACCAATAACATTTTCTTTGGCCAGGAGTGGTGGCAACTGCTTTTAATCCCAGCAGTGGGAGGCAGCTAGGCAGGCTAGTTCCAGGCCAGGCAGGCATATATATAGAGAGACCCTGTCTCTATAAAAACAAACAACAAACATGTTCTTTAGAAAACTATGAAAACATGTAGCATAACTGCTAAAGTTGGACAGGGAATGCAGACCAACATTAGTTCCAGGAGTGAAAACATAGGGCCATTAAAATCTCTCAGATGTTGATAATCAAGAGCCAATCACACATACAATTCTATGTATACAAATTTGAACACTTACATAAAATGGAGAAACTTCTCTAAAACTAGAAAGTTTTCAAACTCATCTAAGATTAAACAAATAATACCCCACGTAAGCCTATGACTACCAGTGAAAATGAATTTAAATTTTAAAGTTTTTCACAGTCATCCTGTCAGTCCACATCCCTGACAAGACAAAAAATAACACAGGTAAAAAGTGACCAATATTCTTCACAACAAAGATATTTTAACATAATACTTAAAATCACTTTCAATGTTTCTAAAAAGCAAAATATGTCATGAACAAATGGAATTAATTCTATAAATGCAAGGCTAGTTCAGTTTCCTGAAAGGAATGTAATCACGAAATCAAAACAGATCTCAGCACATGCCTGTTATCCCAGCACAAGGGACATTAAAGAAAGGGGTCAGAAGGCAGTCTGAGCTATAGAGCAGAACTCTGGGAAGGAAAAGTAGGGGTAAGGAGGAAGAAGTGAACAGGGGTTGGGGGGACAGGTAATCAAGTAAAGCAGAGCACTCACAAAGAAGCTAGAGAAGCAGTGAGCTGGTGGTATGGCGTAATGACTTCATTTGTAATACTTTCAAACACACCATAGCCTCTAAAAGTTAAATTCTGCAGCCAACAGTCAACTGTCAAACCCCTGCTCTAGGCTACAATGGTACTGACACATTCTTAAGAATTTATTTGATACCAACACTGTTCTTTATTATCAGGGTATTAGGATTAGTAGTCCATTTAAAAACAAAAGCACAATATACTCATTTTTTCCCCAGACAGGGTGTCATGAAGTCCAAACTAGACTCAACCCTGCTACATAGTAGCTAAGGATGACCTTGAATCCCAGGCCTTCCTACCTCAGCCCCTAGTGCTGGGATTACAGGCAAGGGAGTTGAAACCCAAACCAGGGCTTCAGGCACGGGAGGCAAGCACTCTATCTACCAACTGGGCGATCCCCCCAAACTCCAAACTAATATTGTAAAAAATGGTGGAAACTATAGGTTGGCCTAAGATAATTAGGAATTGTTAATAATTAAGTTGTTACTACAGCTTAACTTTTTTTTAAAAGCTGCATTTTATTTTTTTAAAGACTAGCAATTTCGATGTAGAAGATTAAAGGGGAAATGGGCTTTTACTTAGATCAAAGCATAAGAGCTTAATGAATAATATAGTCTCCACCTGAATTAATTTAGTAAGCCTACTCCTCCCTTAAATAAGACACTCACAGTGGTAGTATTCTGCTTATCCTTGACTAAGATGAAAGTATCTAGGACAAAATTAGAAAATACTTTTGAGACACACAGAAACAAAAGAGAGAAAATTATGCATGGACTGAAACATTTTATTTTTAAAGATGGTTTAGCAAGCACTCGTTCCCAAGCTTGATGACCTGAGTTCAAACACAGTGGAAGAAGAAAACTTTGCCCTCTGCACACACACACACACACCACACACACACACCACACACACACTCTCTCTCTCTCTCTCTCTCTCCCCCCTCTCTGTCAAATTAATAAATAATACTAAGAAAACATCACACACCACTTTTTTTAATTCACATATAAGAAAGTAGTATGTATTGATGTTGGACACTGTTTTGAGTACAAGCATATACACATACATAAGAAATAAGATATAAAGCACATCCACTGAACAAAACATAAGCACTTTAGTTGACTGCCCAAATAATCTGGATTTTTACTGAGTGAAGTATCAGCAGTTTCTTCAGACTTTGAACTCTAAATGCACTTATAATGCTAATGTATTCATCAATAAATCACAAAAAAGGATGTGTTTTCAGACAGAGTTGAATTCAGGGTTTTGTTCCCACTAGGCAAGAACTCTACCACTGAGCTACATCCCCAGTCCACATTGGCATTTATTAAAGATGAATACGCCTTCTCAACTGAAAATATAGAAGAGTTACTGCCAGCCAGCCTTCTTCCAATGTTGTTTGTTTATTTAGTGAGGCATGAAAGCACACTTCCAGCCTGATATGTAATACCTACATTTAACCACTGGAAA